GCCCGCGGCAGCTCCCGCGCCCGGCCCGGCCCGCGCCGCCACTCACCACACCAGGTCTCCGAGCCTCAGACTCACGGCCGCCATCTTACCGACACAGCCACCAGCCGCACGGCGCAACGCCTGCCGGGAAGGACGGCGCCCGCCGCGGGGCGGGGCGCGGCCCACGCGATAGGGCGGCCCTCGTCACGTGGGGGCGGCGGGACGCTCCGCGTCTCTCCCTCGGGGCGTGACTACTACGGCGGTGCTGATTGGTGCGCTGAGCGTGACGTAACGTGACGTAGCGTGAGGACGTGTCGTGACGTCACTCAGCCGCTGCGCGTGACGCGATAGCGCGGAGCGGTGGCGATGGCGGCCGTTGAGGAGGTGCCTCCCCCTTCCCTCCTCGCAGTTTTCCATCCCTCCGCACGACCCCCGTGGGCCCCCATGGAGACCTGCGAGCAGGCGCCGGGGCGGGCAGGAGCCCGGGGCTGGCAGGAGCCCGGGGCTGGCGCTGCGTGCCGGCTCCTCGCAGCCGCGCGCCTCGCCCGTGCCGTGCCCTGCGCCACCGCCTTTAGCTCCTCTGCCCTTTCAGCCACAGCTGGGCGGGCTGAAGTACCCCGTTCCAACCACTGTTAGCCACTTGCCTAGTCCAACCTGCCCTCCACGTTGCAATCCCTCCCTCCCCGTTCTCAGCGCTAGGAGGAAAGCCCCTGTTTTAGCAGCAGCAGCCCTTTAAACCCGGCGTGTGGCTTGTTCTGCCATCCTCCCGCCGCCAGCCTCCTTTTCTCCCAACATTGGCAGTGGTTGACAGCTGTCAGCAGCTGACTTCCACGTCTGGGCATCCTTAAAGCTCCCTAAAGCARTAGCAGAACGGGGCGGTTTCTTTCCGTGCAGACACGGTATTTGGGCGGTGGGAGCCGAACAGGACGGGTTTAACTGAGCACAAACTGCGGCGGGGGCCGGGGCCCGGCGCGAGGCGGACCCGCTCCCGCCTCAACTTCCGCCGGCACCGAGGCCGCAGCACAAACGTTCCGCCCCGCCTCGCCGCGGGCGGGACCCGCGAGGCCGCGGCACTTCCGGGCGCCGCGCCGGAAGCTGCGGGGCGCTGAGGCACGGCCCGGTTCGGCCCGGTTCGGCCCGGTTCGGCTGGGTTGGGCGGGCGGGCGCCATGGCCCGCAAGAAGCTGTACCGGCCCATCGCCGCCATGGCCAAGAAGGTGCGCGAGTACCGCGCGCTCAAGAACCGCCCGCGGGACTCGGAGCGCTTCGCGCTGGACTACGAGACGATGCGGCGGCCGCTGACGCAGAAGCGGCTGCCGGTGCTGGCGTGGGAGGACGCGCGGCGCGAGAGCCGCCTGTTCGCGCTGCTCTGCCGCCTGCCGCTCTTCGGCGTGGGCCGCGTGCTCACGCGCAAGTCGTGGCTGAGCGAGCACGCCGAGCCCTGCTACTGGCGCGTGGCCAAGGTCAAGGTGGACTACACGGCGCAGGTGGGTCCGCGCGCCGCCCGCGCCCCCCGCGCCGCCCCCCGGCCCCAACCGCCGCCTCTTTCCTTTGCAGAACATGGACCACGGCAGGGCCTGGGGATACCTGACCTTCAGAGGTAAGGGCGGCTCGCTGCTGCTAGAAACAGCCCGGAGAAAACGGTCCTAAGGAGGGGAGTGAAGTGTGGGGGGGGAAGAACCGCCCTCTCACTTAGGAAGGTTTGTTCTTCTTGATTTTGTTAATGGAAAACAAAAAAATCCGAAGCTCGGTTTCTAATGGTGAGTGGAACTCTTATGTAGAATACGCTTCCCAGAATCTTGCGGGAGAGACAGTGCAGGCTGATGTGGGAAAAGCTGCTGCTCTGACAGGCTTAGGTGGGTGCCAGAGCTGACCTGCATCCCTAAACTTCATGGGTAGGACACAGTGAAAGCAGGAGGAAACTRGGGTAAAACAATCAGTAATGTTGGCAAATAAACTGGAATGGCACACCCTTGAGGATGGATGGATAAATTTGCCTTTTAAAATAATATTTGCTTAATATTAGAAATATGATATTAGTAGAGTTCTTGAAATACTTTTCATTCAAAGTTTTATGTATACATATATGTCATCAAGCTTCCTATAAGCTTTCATTATGGTAGAGAGAAATTATTCTTATTCTTTGCCTACAAAAACTGAATCAGTGAGAGATGAAGTGACTTYTCAAATTAAAAGAGGAAATCAACCATAGAGCAGCTTGTTTAATAGTCTTCTCAGTCTGTGTCTGTTTTAATATCCGTGGACAGAAGTGGGATCATGCACTGTAGCAGTGAAAATATGGTGTGACCCTTTCCAAACCTACTGCCAGTTCTAGCAGCAGTCGTGCTGGGGAGCCCTCACTTGCTGCAGTCCCTGGAGGGGGCGGTTGCTGTTGATGGCGTTTTTCACTTCATCTTCTTTTTCTCAGGCAAAACCGAGGATGAGCTGAGAGAGATCGACAAAGTCATGTACCACGACTGGCGATTGGTGCCCAAGCACGAGGAGGAGGCCTTCAAGAAATTCACCCCAGTGCCCCAAGAGACCATTCGGTACCTTCCATACCCGCCTCTGCTCCGAGCCATGATCCTTGCTCAGTGGCAGAAGGAAGGAAAACCCATCACGGAAGAGCCAATGCTTGATCTGGAGAAGGGCACAGCTYGCCCTGAGGGCGCCAAGCAGAAAGCTGAAGGGACACCAGTGTAAAGAGCTGTGTGACCCCAGCTCCCCGCGTGCTCTTGCTGGGGGTCAGAAGCACATCAGTTTCCTCCAGGAGGTACATCTGCCCGTGTGGTATGGGGCACCCAGCTTTTCTCAACTCACTTTCTCTCACTTTTCAGAATGTACAGTGACCTCCCATGAAAGGGAATATGCAAATACATGCAGATTTTTTTCATAACTTCTTTCTTTCTTCTCTTGTGCTCTTTTGTGTGTGGGGCTTCCCAGGCAGGAGCTTGGGAGAGGGGGAACGGTGGGCACTACTGCTCAAGTCCAGGCTGCCCTAGTTATTCCACTGGCAGAGATGCTCCTTCCTGCTGGAAGTGGGTGCCAGGCTGGGAAGAGCAGCCAGGGATGCTGGTAGGGATGAAGGGGCCTCCCTGACAGTCCCCAGGGCTGCTGCTGAGGGCCCACGCACAAGTGGCCTGGTGGAAACCAAGCCCTGCAAGGGGCAGCTCAGCTGCCTCCTGGTGCCCCCGGCTCTGCTCCTGGGGACACACGGGGCTGTCAGGGCAGCCAGGGACAGTCGGTGCCATCTCGGCTCTCGCTGCTGTAGACTCTGAGCACCAAGCCCTGGAATATCTCGAGTGATGCGTTCAAAGGGATGTGAGCTGAGCACTGTGCTCAAAGCTGCTGCACTCAATGACAGGTTTAATCGATGCTGCCAGGTGCTGTCAGCTGCAGTTTTCCTCAAGTGCCCTAGGGAGCCACAGGCAAGGCAGCTAATGAGGAAGCAGCCACGGCTTGTCAAGACATTAAAATCATTTCAGAAGCTAATGGCAAGGGAACCTGCTTCCTGCAACTTATTTTAAAGCCTGACAACTGSCAACACTCCTATTTATAGCCTTACTCACAATCATTTTCACTGCTTTCCTGTTGCTCCTTCCCTATTATTGCTGCATACGTTCCTTGAACTAATTAACTTCTATACAACAGGTATGAACTCATATAAATGCTGCCAAGACTAGGATGAACAAACAGGTGGAGGGACTCGGCCCCCGAAGGCAGGATCGCTGAGCGTCACTGACCCCACGCGCCCCGTCACGGAGCAGCTCGTGTTGAGAGGGGACGTGGCCAACTCGAGCTCCAAAAGGCAAGACTTGGGTGCTCAACCTGGTGCCCCAACTGAAGAGGACCCCGCCACCAGCAGCAAGGACAGCTGGAGACAGTGGTAGCTAAACAGGGACCACCTGGGCTCACTGCCAGGCCAAGCCTTTTAAAAGCCTCTCTACAGCCTGAGCAGGAAGCCCTGTGCCCCAAACACAGCACACAGGCGCTTGCTGATGTTAACACATTTATTACATACAGAACAGATATGGTTCGTTGTTTGATAGCGTAGGGGACGAAGCATGGGGACGTATTCATACAGCAGTCTCTTTACAGAATGCCATCTTCTGACTGAACAGCGGAGTTTACAGGCCTTAAGACACTTTTAAAATCCTTTTGTAACATACAAGATACTTTACATACATCACAGTGGAGATATGACAGGGAAGTGTGTTGAAGCCAGTCAGCTCTTCACCTTGCTGCCCAGTAACCACCAAATGCTGAGGAATGTGACAGCAAGTGGCTGGTTTTACTTAGCTGTAGCCACCCCCTTTTAAACATGTGCTTCTCTTGGAGGAAAATACACATCAAACTGGCAAGGAACCTGTTGGGAGAGGCCACAGACCATCTCCTTATGTCACCTGGGGCTGCTGGGTAACAGGCAACCAGCAGTGTCACCCTGACTGCTAAAACCAGATACAGAACAAACAGCAAGAGGTAACTGTGGCACTTCTGTGTTTTCATATGGAAAGTTCTACAGAGCTACGAGAGGGGAGCAGCTAGGGCTTTTTTCTCCCTTAAACTAGTTCAAATTAGGAAGCTTATTTGGCATGAACTGTTAGATGTTTGTGGAATCTGCTGCCTAAATGTCTGTTTTCTTGCTAACCTTTCAGCACTTTGTGTTGCAACCCAAGGAGCCCATCCCAGCAGAAGGCATTTCAGGAAAGGGGTGGCAGCAGCTGGAGTTCCCACCGCACAGGGAATCCCTCAGCAAAGCAGCAGCCCCAGGGCCTGGTGGTGGCAGGAGGCAGCGCATCCTGAGGCCAGCACTGCCCCTGGCAGCCAGGGCAACAGGGCCCCTGTGCATTCGGTGGCCGAGGCCTCTGTTCCCCGGGCACGCAGCCCTGGCCTCCTGGGCAGAGCAGGTGCCCCGGCCTTTCCCGGAACTGCGGACCAGTAAATCATCTCAGTGCTGCTGAACCTGGACACTGCTGTGTGCCGCTGGCACTGAGATACCCCAGCGAGCCCCAGACCTGCCTAGCTCAGGGAAGAAACAATCACCAGTCTCCCCAAATCCACTGCTAATCACTGCCCCCCACATCCAACAGGGGAGCTCCAGGGAAGCAGGACTCACCCTTCTGCACACAGGGCTGTTTCCATGGTCAGAAAGGAAGGGGACACGTGTTGGACAAACGGTTACCTCTGTATCTGGAACTAGCACTCTAGCCTAAAACTGCTCTTGTTGGCCCTGCTTCTCCTGCAAGCAGGACATGCTCCTGCAACCTCACAGCACTGCCTGCCCAAGTAGGACAGCCAGCATTTCCCTCAGGGGTCACCATCCTTTTCGGGAGTGAGACACTTCCAGCTTTYGCCCTGTTGAGTAGCAAGGCCCATCAGTGCTTGTCACGTCAGGCAGAGAGGCCAGGAGATCTGGCCTCCTTCGTGCAGCCTCAGGCAAGACCCAGCCTTTCTCTACCTTGACTGCACCCACACAGTCCTTCCCAACCTCCCTGCTATGGGGTGGAGGAGGAGAGACATCTCCACGCCAAACAGCAGCAGCTCCCAGAATGGGGCACATCCTCACGAGTCAGGGTAACTTCACTGCACTAACACACAACCACAGCTCCCTCCTTGCCTGTATTTTAAAAGCCAACAAATACTAAACAGAGCCAGCTTTCTCACTGAACTTTTCAGATTTTCCTACCTGATATTTTTGTAAGGGGGAGTTAAAAGTCTTGCTGACTTTTCTGTTCTCTAACAAGGTTCCAGCAGCCTCTTGCCACTGCAGATTTCTAGGCCCCTGTGGCCTCTGCGGTGAAACACCCGTCTTCCATCTGGCCCTACCGAACAGCCCTCGCTGGGCACAGGCACCCAGAACACTCCTGCTAAGACAACAGCAGCAACAGCAGAGAGGGACCTTCCATTTGCTGTACAAAGAATGTGTTCCCCGTGGTAACTGTTCACGACACTGTTACCCTCTCAAGCCAAATAGCAAGAGTAGTTCCAAAACCTTGACACTCCTTCCTGCTGAAGGTTCCTGGCTTGGGCCTGGCTGTTCTCAGTCCTTGGGATGTTATCCTGTGCTTCTGTGTACCCTATGGAGAGTGGGTAAGGTGGAAATTCCACTGGTGAAGTAGAAAGGATTTCTTCTGAGGTGCTGGAGAGTTGTGATTCACCATCACTGCTTTGGTGGGGCTGCTGGGGTGATTGCTTCTCATGCAGCTGGGAATGAGGCAACCTGCTGGAGAACCCCACCACCTACCCAGCTGCTGGGCCCTGGGCACAGGGTTTGCACCGTTCTGGCTCCAAGCTTCACTTCATCCACGAGCTGCCATTTCTCTCCTTGTAGACGCCAGCTCCAGAGCAGAACAATAATCCAAGCACGCAGAAAGCGCACGGGCTCAAGATGAAAGCTGCAAGTTCAGAGGTTAGAAGGGGGTCACAGTCCAAGGCAGGAGCCGTTGCAGTTGTCTGGGGTCGGTTTCCAGCAGTAGGTATAATGCAGGAGTTCTGTATGTACATCTTGGCATTCAGGTGGGAGGAGGGAGACTTACATTGGTAGGAAAGGAAAATTTCTCACTCAGGGATATATGATACTTGCCACACGATAATGTGGCTCCTTTCAGCCTTGGAAAGTACTGGCTTCACCTGGGTGGCATCTCCTGCATTCTCTTCTGTCTCATCATCTTCTCCATCCCCTGAAGAGAGAAAACCAAGTAAAAAAGGCAGGAAGGAAAACACAAAGTGACATTGCTCTGGAATCCTTCACAAGAAGCTAATACCCCTGCTGCAYGACCACTGCAGCCTGATCACAGACAGCACCAGTCAAAACCTCCCTTGATGCCTAGAGGAGCCTTTATAACCACAGGGTGGTCTTCCCAAGCAAGCCTGTGTAAACAAAACAAACTGCCTCCAGGAGCAGGGAAATCTGCCACTCCTCAGTTTGGAGAAGCCGGTGTTTATGACACAGAATGGAATGGCCTAGAGTGCCACAAGTGCCACAGTGGGACACCAGTATTTGGAGCTCTTAGTACACCGTTTTAGTCTCTTCAGAGCCATTATTGCAGCCTGYGTGGCAGTGACAGACAGGAGCAGAGCTTGGCAGCCCTGTGTCATGCAAGGAAACACCCGCTGTTCCCCTGGCAGCAGGGTGCCGAGGCAGGGAGCCTCCTGTGCAGACTGCTGCCCCTGTGCAGCCCCGCACCCCGCTGCAGCGCTCACCAATGCGGAAGTCGATGTAGCCTTCCCCTCCGCTCAGCACCAGGACGTTCTTCAGCTTCTGCCCCTCGCTCTCGCTGGCCGCCGTACTGGGGTTCTCCGAGGGACTGTCCAACACGCTCCCGTTGAGGGTGGCTAGAACGTTGCCTGGAACGGGAGGGAGCTGCAGTCAGTGCCTGTGCCCGAGCCCCGCACGCTCGGCACAATCACACAGACTCCACACCAGGCAGCTCAATCCCTTCTGCTGGTGAAACCTATTGCAGTCTAAACTGTGTCTGAGCAGGAGATCAAAATGCTGCTGAGAGYCTCCTGTTGCCCAGCAGCTCCAGCCCCTCAACAGACCACAGTGGAGGACTCTACACRAGGAAGGGACACGTTCATCCTTACCAGGCACTGAAACGAAGAATTTGACGGCATCCCGGTGGCCGTGGAAGCAGAGCTGTGCCTGAGCCATGGAGCAATACGGAATGAAACTGCTGGCTGATTTGTCACTGTTGTCATCGCCGTACACGTGGATGACTCCACCAGAGCGGCTGCCCTCTCCAGAGGTGGGTGAGGTTTTGTTGGCTGAGAAGAGGGAGGAAGAACATTGTGATAATTCTGGTCCCATTTACAGATCAAAGAGAACATTTATGAGACATGAAGGAAAACCTTTAAAGTTGCAGGTCTCTAAAGGTCCTGTGTAAGGAATGTGATACAGAAAACGACACTGGACCACACAGTCCATCTCCCTGATGTGCTGGGCACCCACTCATTAAAACAAACTASATTTCCCATCAGATTTAATGTTTGCTACTAATGAGGCTATAAATGAGGTAAACATCCCTGGAGATAGTGAGTTAGGAGCAACTCTAGAGCACACGAGACACAAGGTTTCTAGGGTGTCCCAATAAATGCTTCTTCCAGCAGCAATTCTACCCAACCTGCAGCAATTGCCTTCTGTCCTAGGAATCAGCCTTAGTCTTTCACACTCTGTGGGGTAACCAGAAGCGCTTGCTGCCCCCATGACATGATAAGGGCTTTTGTCCTTCTCGCTCTTGAAGAATTACTGCAACTCTTCTGAATCAGTAAACTTGCTCGGGTTCCAAGTCCTTTGCCACACCAGATGATGAGCTCTCAAGCAAGGAACACCTCCCGCAAGGTGCTCTCCATCCACAACTTCCAGGGACTGCAGGTTGAGCTCAGGGGCCCACACCGTTCAGGTCCAGGCACTGACAGTATCATGGTGCCACTCACAGGAAACAGAACAAAGAATTGAGGGCTCAGAACAGGAGCTGATTTCTCTTCACATACACCCACATCAGAAAGAGAGAAATACCATTAAAAAGGCCTTCGCTTTTGGTTTATTTTTAGAGAGAACTAAATTGCTTGCTTAATTGACAATAATTCTGTATTTTGACGTGGGATGGATTTCAGTTACTAAGGGCCTAAGAAACAAAGACGACTGACTTAGCAGGCTCAAGCCCGGATGCTGAGACAAGGCACAGATATTTGGATAGGAGAATGAGAGTCAATGTGTGCAAATGGAAGATCCCCCCCACAAAAAAGCTTTCTGCACCTTTGTGCTGCTGTGAGCAGCTGCATTTGGATGTTCTCATCTGACTGTCAGACAGGGCTAGTACTTGTAGCTTGGTCTCCTAGCTCAGTATCTTGCTCCTAATAGTGAGCCAGCATCAGATGCTTTAAACAGAGGAGAAATATGCTGCCAACMGCCTTGGGCAGTCACAGAAATGTCTTTCAGTGAGAAAAAATACCTGACCTTGGAGAGGCTGGGGTAAACCTAAGCATAAACCTGAACAGTGAGCTCTGATTCTACCWTAATTGGCACAAAAGCAAGCAATTTGTAATATGTTTCAAAGAAGTCCTTCTTGTATAAAGTCTTGGTTGATTATCCACAGCTGGAAAGTACCACAGCAGCTACTGTCACTGCCCTGGAAACTAATGAGAAAAGCACCCTTGAAAGAAACAGTGAGCAGCCTACCCCTGGAAAGAGCTGACTGAAATAAACTTTATAGTACAGGTAGAGCTAGTCCCCATCCAAAACCTAGCCTACCAAAATAAGGGAACTACTGAGGAAGAGTAAAGTATTCTCGTCACACTAAATAGATGTGATGGCTGGTGAGATGGATGCCAATGTTTTTAGCCATGGGGAATGAGAATATTTTCATTAGCGCATCTGGTCGCTTTTCTGCAACTTAAAATGAGAGAGTGACAAGGGAAATGGCTGCAGAGAACTGAATGGAAGGGCAGGCAAGTGATTTCAAAGGTCAATGGGTGTGAAAGGGTTGAGAGCTGAAGGAAGGAGGCAATGGACTTACCCCGGAGCCCAAGGAGTTGGCCTCGGTGGAGGACTACAGCTAGGCACAGTCAAGGAGTGGGAACACAGAGGGGCACGGGAAGAAAGAGGCAGGATGGGAGAGAAGAAAAAGGTGATTACTGGGAGAAAATGCAGGGAGCAACAGAAATCTATAAACCTAGCAAAACTGTAACAGGAGCTATAGGTTCAGTTTATATTCACACTACTCTTGCTTATCTTATTCTTATCCTACAAGGATAGATGCAGTATCTGAGACAGGAAAGGATCACAAAGACCCACTGCTAAAATTCCTAGTGAAAACTAGCTGTATCCCAACCACAGTTTTATAGAAGCCCCAAAAGACAATGTCAGTGGTTTACAGCAAGAAACAAGTATTACTCAGAATTATTGCAGCAGCCCCAAGAAAGACTGGGATTAAAACAGGGATTCAGTAGTGAGACACTGAGATTACAGTGCACAGAGAGGATGGCATCACTGGCTTCCTGATGTTGGCCTTGGTGATCTCCAGCTCCCCATAGAGGAGGCATGAGAGGAGGCAAACTGAGTGCCCACTTCCAGAACTAGAACAAGTTTGCTCCTTTTATACAGCTCTACTCGTTTGCTTCTCTGCCTGAAATCATACTTCATTAAACCATGAAACAAACCTTCTGCAAAGGAAAGCTCAACTCTGACTTGTTCTCAGAACAAAATTACTGAGAACTTCAATTAACCTTCCTGCAGTAGAAACTTGCCTGTCAACTACCACTGACAGGTCTCCTCACCAGCTCAGATTTAGCTCAGTACTGATTTCTGTTTGACTTGATAACAACTGAGTCCTAATTTGACTCAATGGAGCTTTCCTAAATTCAGTATCTGGAAAATACTGTCACAGAGATGTTTATATGTCTACTTCAATGCAAAATTCCCCCAGAGGTCTTGCCAGTAATTTCTCATYCCATAGCCTCCTTTTGAATACAAGGAAGGAGGAAAACTCCTCTAGAGRAAAACTCCTCTAAGTTTTGTTTCTCCTGTTCCCCAGGAGCAGCTATAGAGTCAGTTCACATCTGTACGCCTTGTCAAGGTTACACTCAAGAGAAGACCTTATGGATGGTGGAGGTTTGAATGGTCCCCTGAGGAGGAAACAGATTCAGCTGAATTGAAAGGGGCAGCAGCCAAACTGAAAGGGACAGTAGCAATTATCTACTTGGGTTTGAATCTGTCCAACACAACATTTAATCCTATAATTAAGGAAGTGTTAAACCAAGCTTGAGGTCAGCCATAGTCAGGACTCTTCAAATATTGCCATGATTACAGGTTCAGAGGGAAAGTATCCAGGAAGCATTAGCCAGAGCCATGTGCATAGATAACAAGCATTGWTACTTGGGAGACTCACAGAAGAATCTCTGATAAATGCCACTTACTCTCTGTCAACGGGATGGAGATGACGACACCGTTCCCTGTCCCTACCCAGAGGCGGTTGCCAGCAATGAGCAGAGCTGTAATCCGTACAAAGGAGAAGCCCAGCTTTCCAGTGCCTAGGAAGCATGCACGAGAATTGGACAGTCAGTTATGAGCACAGGACTCAGGGCAACGTCTCCTAATGAATACTAACACCTCTGTGGTCACAGCAAACAACAGGCCATTTACTGACAATCACCACGGCCTCACCTAGCATCTTGCTGACGTACGGCTCGATGTCGACATCCTGCAGATGCTGATGGCTGTGGGCATGGTAAAGCCTCAACGTGGAATCCAGACGGATAGAAACCCAGACTCCATCTCCAATCCATGCCAGCTGTCGCACCTGGCTCTCCCGACGAGGGTGAGCATCAAAGGATTTCTGAAATGCCAAAGGGTGAATAAATGCGAGTTCATGAACAATCTGCACTTATCTAGACATATACTCTGTTTTGTGCAGTTGTTCTCTTACCTCAATCTGCATTGTTTTAGGTTGGATGACATGGATCTTGTTCTTRTAGCCACACCAGACTCTGTCATACACGACAGCCATGCAGCGGATGGAATGGTGAGTGTGACCCAGGTCCATTAGATGGTAATTGCTGAGATCCCACTGACCATCTAAAGCGAAAAAATATGAGGAGGAAAGATGCACTGGATCTTCCATGAGATGTCAATACACAACAGAAACATTCACCTTATACTGAGTTATACAAGCTCAGCTAAGGCTCAAGTCTATTTTGCTTCTGCCTGTGAATTTGCCTTGAATCCATAATACCACCTGGGGCAAAGCTTTGTACTTACCAAAACCACAATGATAAAAGATTAGTTTGGTGGGCTGAAAGGTCCCCAAATCAGGTTAATTTAAACATCCTTTATGTTGTTTAAAAAAAAAAAAAAAGTTTTCCCTAACTATCATGACAAAAACCAACACGGAAATAAAAAAAAGACAGTTCAAGATGACTCTGTGGAAACTCACCTATGTCTGTGCATACGCACAGACTGATTCTGTCACTAATACAGGCTCCTACTTCTCTGGGAAGCCATGGGCCTATTTCATGTGCACTGTGCAGAGGATCTGCTCAGATACCACACATCTGAGCTGTTTGCAGCTCTCTGTGCATGCATTTTACCAGTGATCTGTGATTGCACAGTACCATCCACACAGCCCAAATGCATCAAACTTACTTGATAACTGTGCAGCATATTTGTTTCATAGCAAATACTTCCTAGAAGTGTTGTATATTCATTCTCCATATATTATGAAGTACATAAACACCTATTTTTATCTAGGAAATTTCATGAAATGGTGTAAAAATATGCCTATGTCTGTATAACAGTTAGTTACTTATTTAAGCATGTATCTGTGTTCAGGCAAGCTGGCACCCTTCTTCCTCAACGCAGTGCAGTTCATCACACTTACTGCCAAGCTTGCTTTTCTCCGAGTTCTCTTACCCTCTCCTCGGTGGAATATGGCTAGTGTTCCATCTGCCAGAGCAACAAGGACCCTTCCTTTCACGTGCCTGAAATCACAGAAAAGTAAATACTTATAAAAGTCTGTGGAAGGGATGCAAAACATTTTTATGTTTTCACTACAATTTCTACTCAGTTTAACCCTTCCTTACACCTTCCTTCCTTCCTTMCACCCTTAGAATCATCCTGCCTTATACCCTTAGAAGGATCTAAGGTTTATACCTTTTCATCTTCTCTGTAGTAAGAATATAATCCCTCAGTTTCTCATTAAACTTAAATTCTCCTTCACACTATGAACTCCATCAATTTCAACAAATAACACCCAACTTACACCCTTGTGAAATTTGACTTTCTCCTTCCCACTTRTTTTTTTCCCAGAACTGCTAATCTCATTTAGTACCTCATTCACTGAACTAGGTCGGGTCTGCAATTGAAAAAGCTGTTCATGATGAGGCTTCCCAATGTGCCTCAGAAGGGCAAGAAAAAAAAAATGACGACTGACAGAAGGGCCACCCTCATCAAGTGATTGCTCAAGCACTGAACGTCACCCTGCGGTGTCCCTAAGCGTGCACACTTACACTAGGCTAAGTACAGAATCCTTCAGCTTTATTGAGTGCAGACACTTCTTCCAGTTGGATACAGCAGAGTGCACATAAAGCCTGCAAAGACAAATCAGAGAGTGTTAGTAACATAGCCCCACATCTTCTGCCTGACAGAGCTTGACTATTTTTCTTCTTCTGGTAAGAAAAGAATGTACAAAGTGACATTATGCCACAGTGCCCAAGATGAGCTGAGTGCTCAAAACAATGACTGATGAGTGAATGCTTTCTTACTCCAGAAATGTAAAATGAACTAGAGGTGTGAGGGCTTGGAAAGYAGATCCTGAAGGACATCCAAGGTGAGTTCTGCCAGCTCCTGGGGCACCTACCAGCCATTCTGTGCTCCCAGCCACATGGTGGGGGCAGCACTGGTGCAAGTCCCAGCAGCATCCCCATTCAATTCCTGATCTGTTGCCACTGTGCTTGACTCTGTCTTCTGCTGCCCATTCTCACTGAAGAGAGAACATTTTTATTAGTATCAGAAAAGAATTCCCATCTATGCTTAGTCTGCACTGTGCAAATAGATACACTGTACATACACAGTTTCCTTCTCTTCAGTGTTATTTGATTGCTTGACTCCTGAATCTGCAATTTGCAGTTTATTTCCCGTCACACAAAACAATTAAAAAGTACTTCCTAGTTATATAACTTCCTAGTTATATAACCAAACTTCATGTTTAGCAGTACCATCATATAAGCAGTATTTTCTCTATTCATTTCCAACCCCAAAGAACACAGGGCTAACGTACAGCATTTGCTTTTCTAAAAGCAATTTCTATCCAAGATTTCCAATTTGCTATGTTGGTGCTCATAGCTCCTTAATGCATCACTTCGATCCTATGCATAAGAATTTGTGAGTTTTCTCATCATCTTTACAATGTATTATAGGTACTAGTAGACTAAGTTTATACAGAAATGATGAGCTCCTCTGGTAGGAACATTAAATGCTGCATAGTTGACAAGACCTGTCTTAACAGCAGAATTCTCTAAATTCACATTGGAACATCAAATATTTGCTCTTTAAAAGTTACAACACAGGCTGCTGCAGGTTGAATCATGTTTATTTTCATTTCATTTCTTCTTCTCCCTATAATTCCACCTGTAATACTTGGTAGCCACAAACCTGAAAAGAATTGGCACTTCACGAAAATGAGAAAGTCAAGCTGGTTCTCTTCACTTACAGCTTATGCAAACAGAGCACACAAAGAGCTGAGGTGACACATGGGCAGCCTACCTGTTCTGCCTAGGAGGTGCCTGAGGAGGGACTGGATCTGTAAACACATGCTCTGTGAGTGGCCCAGGCTGGACCTGAGCAGGCTCGGTCTCACTTGTACCATTCTCTGGTATCTCGGTAGCTTCTGTTGCTTCCTCAGTAGACTGGGACTGGTTGATCTTCCCATTGCAGACTGTAGCCACCTCACCTGAAAAAGACGGCGCATTGCAAGATGTACAATAGGCTGAAGACTGAGACRGAAGCAAGCTATACAGGAACCTGGCTTTCAATTTTTAACTTATCCTTGCCTGCATAAGGCAATCAAGCCCTGAACCTGCATCAGACAGCAATTTATCCAGAGTTTTTTCTGCTCTGAAGAAAACATAGGCTGTTTTGAAGTCAGGCACAATCTATGACTAACAAAGCCCCAGAAGTTCACCAAAGTTGTCACTATAGTCATTAATCCGCAAGAACATTATWTACTTTTTCATATAGAGTTAATTGACTTAACAACAAGATATGGCCCAGAAATGAAAGAAATGAGAACAGAAGCAAATGAAGCAGGGYAAGTACTTATCATCTGTCCAAAATACTCTGCTTCACCACAACCTAGCTGCAGGATCCAGATCACTCTCAGAGGAAAGAGGGGCTCTAAAAGGAAAAGTATCAAAGAGGCTTTAGTTCTTGTACTAAGTTAAGAAACTTCTTGAGGTCTACCAAGTTGTGAACTTGGGGTCAGGAGGATGAGGCTGTAAGACCATCAGCTTTTAAGGGATGAGCTAAAACTGAACTAATGTTACATTTGATGTCCAGAGACTCACTCTGTCCCTTGTCCAGCACGGGTGTGTCACCACGCGAGGAGCAGTTGCTTCGTGGCACGTTGCAACGGGTCGCACAGCCCACCAGAGTGATTCCTGCTAAGACACCATCTGTTCCAGACGACTCCTCAGGATTAACATCTCCCTCCAAAAAGATCTCGCCTGGAGGATAATCACTCTCACTGGCCGCTGAAGGGCAAAGAACAAATTCTCCCATAAATTCAGCAGTCACTGCTAAGGCAAATGTAGCAGTACTCCTGAGGTAGCCATGCAGATGGAAGATGCTGATCCTTGGAGCTCACTAGCCCCAGGGAGGCACCACAGCCTCTACCAGCACCAAGGTGAGTGCCCTCATCAACATCCAGGGCAGTTAGAGGGCCCTCCCAAACCTGGGCAAGGCTTGCTCCCAAGAGCCGTTCTGCGCGTGCCAAAGGAACCACTTACTAAGTGCTCATCAAGATCTCCACAGAATAGTCCTAGTAGAAGGCAAGATCTGTGTTACGGTCTTGAGGAACATTACTCAAGCAAGTTCTGTGGGTTAGTTCTGAAGCAAGGACACTGTTTGTGACTCCTCATAGGAGTAGGTGACCCTGGACAGAGAGGAACCAGTGTCTGGGCCCCACTTACCAGGGATGCTGGAGATGCAGAGCACGTGAGCATTGCAGACAGTGAACTGGTCCACCACTGTACCAGGCTGATTGGCATCAATGATTACAACTTTACTTGTTGACAGGGTACTGGTGAGGATCCAGACACGACTGGATGTGGCATCCATTTCATGAAGCTCCTTTGTCTTCAAGGAAAGCAAATACACACAAGAATCAGTGTTCCTCTCACTCAGATCAGACTAAGATCTCACTCTTAGATTAGACTAAGCCCAACAATGCTCAACATATTTGTGCATGCAGAGACCACACTGCCAGCTCTGGAGAGCCAAAGTCTCCTCCTAGCTGAGGAAAATAAACAATCTGAGCAACACAAATTTCCTCCACATCGCTGCACTTGTATTTGGAATCTCAGCCAAGGGAGTGTTGTCATTAGTTTCTTTTCTAAATTGTCTCATTAATGTCACAGAGCACGTGTTTCAGATTGAATACCATGAATGTGGGATACGAAAACTAACAGACTAAGCAAGCTAATTAAAGAAATACCATAGGACAACATTATGATACAGCTGTTAAAAAAAAAAAAAAGAATAAAAATTCAAATCACCATCTTCAAGTTACAGTTTCGTTCTTGAAAATAACTTAAGACTGTCTTAAAAAACAGAGCTGGAAGGAATCTCAAGAGATTCCTGAACCAAATGGACTAATGGACTATACCAGGTCAGTAAATCATACTGATTCCCAAGGGGGATAATGGGAGCAGATAACGGATGGAATTAAAAATCAGTGGAGAAAAAAAAATTGTTTTTCTTTTCTGACCTTTTTCTTCTCAGGAGATGTATGGTTGCTCTTGTTGTTCTCGCCTTCCACTTCCCGGTCACAGGTGAGAGGATCACGCCCAGGTTCCAGTTTCTGTCCATTCCCAGATTCCTGCTCAAAAGGTCTCCATCCCATGAGATTGACTCCAGCTGCACACCACAGCTAAGAAAGAAACAGAAATCTTAAACTAAGATTTCTACCTCTCTACAGTCCCCTCTTTCCTAGATTTCTTACATCCTAGAGCACGATTCAAGGAGCTAAGCCACCAAAAATAAACTCCTCCTCCAAAAGGATATCTCTAAATATGGATATTCTAAGAAACATGGAAGAAACAGAAGCTCACATTTTCCATGTCCTCCTCCTGCATTGGACTGGAATGCAGAGACAACATACCTTCATGGTTGGGTCCTTCTCCACTAGTGGACGACAATACACAGGCACAGGGACGTTCTTCATGCGAGTGTCTTCCTGGCCCCCATTGGGACTCAGCTGTGGGAGAAGAGAAGAAGGGAAAGACAGTACAAGACACTACACACAAGGCTACTGCAAAAGAGACACAACCAATAAGCTGGAATGAAGCCTCTGAGCCTCTGAGCAAGGGTGTCATTGGCAGCTGATGCTTCATCTCGCATCTTGTGTGAAACAGTGCATAAAGGGATGGGACCAGCCTACCTGAAAGAATGTCTCTCTCACCACAGAAGGTTTTTCATTTTTATAACATTAAATGATTGGAAGTGTTCTCATAGTACAAATATCCCATGCACAAGCCCAGGCAGAATAATACAAGAAACAAAAACAAGTATTGGGGTCTAGATGAAAAGCGTTAACTCCTTCTGTTTTGGGTTAGGTTCTTTCAGAACCTTTCATGCAAAAAAGCATCCCCTCTATAGACTTAGGTGCAGATACAAAAAGGATATATTTAATCTCTGCCTACAATTATCATACAGATAGATCATGGATATTGTACTTCTAACTGGAATATTTAGCAACTGAGGCTAAAGAATTAGATCTTCCCTAACATCACTATACATAGCATGACATGTTCTCTCCCCTCAGCCTCTCAGGGGAGCGGTCCCTACCTGCTTGTACTTGGCAGGGAGACTCCAGCCACAGGCCTGCAGTCTCCCATCATCGTTCCTCACGTGCTCCCGGACCTGGCGGTACTGCTCCCGCTTCTGCTCGCGACGGGCTGACGAGGTACAGTCGCTGCGGAGAGAAACGACACTGTTACTTCCCAATCTGTGGTTAGAATCAGAGGCAGGAGGTCAAGGACATGTTGCCATAGCAGGGAGAAGGAAAAATGGACAAGAAGTCAGAGAACACAAAGCAAAACAAATCCACCCTTGCACAAGCGGAAAGGAGATGGAGGAAAACAGAGGCAAGGAAAAACAACAGAACAAAACAAACAAACAAAAAAGCACCTTAAGTAGTGTACCTAGCCAACCCTATCCTCTAACTCCCTGTTACCTGGACAACTGTCCTGTCTACTTCTGTATTTCAAGAACCCTTCAGAAACAGGCAAGCAACCTTCTGCAAGATCATACCACTTTTTACTTAGCTGTTTCAAGTTTACTGATGTAATGTCTCAATCAAGAAGATATTCAGAGCTCTTCTATTTTTTACTACAGTCAACTGTTTTTTTTGGTCTGTTTTAAGATTCCCTCTGCTGACTAGAAAAATATGCACAAACTGTACTGCTTTCAACAGAATTACTCCAGCTTTGCACTGGCAAATCTAAGAAGAAAATCAATTTGTGAGCTCTCAGGATACATTTTACTATAAAAAAAGGATGTTTGATGTCAGTTCTAGCTCTCAAAAGGTTTTTAAAATACCACAGATCCAGGGTACAAACAACATCAGCAAAAATCCAAGCCAAAACAACCCCCCTCCACACACACACACACACAYAYATATATATATGGRTACACAYACTTAAAACAAAAAAACAACYTCCCACTAAAACAAAACCATTCCTTGCACCTGCTTCCTCTCCTGGGAAGAGGATGARAGAACAAACAGCTTCTAATGGTAGGTGGTCACATTATTTAATGCACTACTGGAAAGCACTCAGATACCACATGATAACTCTGACATTGCAACTAGAAGTGAACTGAACAGTGGGTATGGGTATCTATAAAATATAAATTTATGCTCTAAAGTAAACCTCTCCACCCATTCCACTGCCTTTCCTACAAACTTTACCACCACATTCTCCAAAGACTTTCACGAAAACATCACAAGCTGAACAGCAATGCCTCGCACTGGTAAGGCTTGAGGGCACAAAGTCACTGCCAGCTTGCTGAGTTCATCCATGTGGCAACCGGTGAGGGAAACATCAAACGGATAAACACAAGAGTCAGAAACTTTAATGCCACTTGGACTTCTTTCTTTTTCTATTAGAAAACAGCTTATAGAAAGAAAGCCAGTAGCTATTTGGTAAAGCTRCTGGGGGATCTGGCTTTGCACTTAGCCCACGACTCACTCTTCAGGGAAGAATTCAAGCGTGCGGCTGCCGGAGGAGATCTGGCACATGGTGTGGCTGCGCCGCTGGCTGAACCCTGCCGTGGTTGGAGACTTGTAGTGGATGTTCACCGATGGGTAGGTCCTCTTTGCTGGGGGGGGACTTGAGGATGAACTGAACAGACGGCTGAAGCTAGGGATGGGAAAAGGTAACAAGTAAGAGAAAAGGGAGACAATCCAACACAGATTCACAGTAGGGGAAGCCTGAGGTACAAAATCAGGGACTTTAAGCCCTCTGTGAGAACTGTCCTACTTTATTTATGTGTTTTTGCATTTCGGGTATTTGTTCTCAGATTGTCCTCTTTCTGAGTTTGTAAAACCAAACTGCTATGAATGTGCAGAGCTGATTTTAACTAAAGACAAAGGAAGACCATGTAGCCAAAGAGTTCGGCTAAGAATGCTTTTAGCATTAACACTAGAGGAAGTTGATGTGTAAGATAGACATGGAACTTCTTTTCTTAAACAAACCACCAAAGGACTTACAATTGCCAAATAGTAGACTTCTTTTTCTCCTGGACGGATGGGTGCTCACGGGAAGCTCTAAGGACAAACACAGCAGACACAAGTTAATTTCACTATCTTCCACCCAAATTCATGCCAATCAGCAGGCCATTTCCATCAAGGAAGTTAAATCAAAACCCCAATTTTAACAACATTTCAAAACACAGCAGAGGAAGTGATATACAGTCTTCTTTGATGGGAGCACACCTAACAGGCTTTTCCTTCAGCATTCATATTAAGTGCAAATAAGTTTGTTCAATTCCCAGTTTTATCAATGCCCCTTAAYGTTATCAGTACCAAAAGAGCACCCTTGAATCACAAACCCCAGAATTCATTAGTTAAAAGCAACCCTCCCCGCTACAATTTCTCCTAGCCTCATTAGCACACAAAAAAACACCAAGACAAACAACTGTTCAGTCTCTTCAAGTTACTAYGGCAACTCTAGTCTTGATTTGGCACTCAGATTCAGGAATGAGAGGAAAAATTGTGTAATGCAAGAGAAACATCTACAAGTTCCGAAAAACTTACAGCATTTCTCAAACCAGTATCTTCACGGCTCAACATGACCAGGTTCTGTCCTAAATGGGATTGTTCACCCAGCCTTACCTGATCATCTCTGTCCACCTTACAGCCTCCTGCAGCTCCATCAACCTCTCTTTGTATTGATTGCGTTCCATCAGAACCCGGGCCATTTCCACACGTGTGAAGCGGCGACGCTGAGCTATGGGAATGTTGTCCTGTAGAGGGGAGGAGCACTGCTTCAGCCAACAAAAAAATGGAAGGGGATTGATGTTAGTACTGGAAAAGTCAGCAGAGAAACATATTTGTTAGTTCTCTTCCTCTTCTGTTTAATTATCCCCTACCTTCCCCATGTGAGGTGCTAATTCTAGACCAGTGATCTTCAAACCATGACCCATGGACCTCTTGATGTTCAGCAAACTCATGTAAAATGGAGTAAGAAACACCATCAAACTGAAAACTTTATCCAGAAAATATCATCACTRAAGTGTTTTAGAGGTCCACAAGGAATCTGTAGAGTGGATAGTGGTCCATTGGTCCAATTAGTTTGGAAACCACAGTCTTATTGCAACAGATTTTGCAGCAAATCTAATCACAAGTGGCAGGGAGCAACACAAAATGCTATGTGTCCCCTCAGCAGGACTAGGAGGGAGTCAGTCTGTTAGTACACACTAAGCAGATAAAGCTGCGGGGCACAGAAAACTAAAGAAAGACCTTCTCCTCTTTACCTGGCATGACACAACTCACCTGCTCATTCTCAGAATATGGCTGAGAGCTGCTTCCCTCTAACCACTATGCAGCATGGATAAAAGCACACATTTGAAATTCCCAGGTTCAGTAATTTCCCTAGCTAACTACAGCCCCAAATCTTCACATAYACAGAGGAAGTGTCCTGATAGTGGCTGATAAGTAATAGTTTCGTAAAATCATTTCTAAGGGAAAGTGGAACACTCTTTACAATTCATTAGGCCACCCTGACAGCTCAAAGAGTTCAGAGACACTAGTTAGTGTCACATATGCACAAGCTTTTTTTTTTTTTTTTTTTTTGTAATTCAGCCCTGAAAAATCTATAGTTCCAATACTCGTGTGGCCACCTGCAAGCCTAGAAATTTTTTAAATTATATCCTCGCTGCATTACACATTTGTTTTGGTCAAACCATGATTTGAAAAACATAGGTAGGGGTGATCTCCTCTCATCTGGCTACTGCCAAACATCAAGGCAACCCGCAGCTGACCAGCTCTGCCTTCATCATTAACCAAGGCAGAACAGTCTGCACCTGAAGACTCATATACACAGTAATACAGGATAAGTACATAAACCCCCTTTCCCCGCAGGCATTTTAGTAATGTAATATACCAATTCTGTACAGAGATAGCTGCTTACATCCTCCACCTCCTCTTTGGGTTCTCGTCGGGCAACAATTGCTTCAGATTTCACTCTAGGAAACAGAAAGAAATGCATCAAACCAGCAAGTGAGACAGTGACTTACACTGTTGGGCAGGAGGTGTTTGCAGGAGGAGGATCATCTACCAAAAGGTCTAGAGGCATTACAGGGCAACATGCTCAAACCATGAGATGTACCTCCAAATAATGAGAAGCTTCTCTGTATTTTTTTTCCTTTACCTAAGACATCAGCCCATTTCTCTGAAGATGTGAAATGAGAGCTAGGCCCCAAAATACTGGTCACTATCTACCTTGGAGACACCATGTGTTTTCACCTAGATCTTAACTGACCTCTGAGCAGTCAAAATCCTGGCTTAATTTCTGCTTCTGCACTGCTTCTTTTCAAAGCAGCCAAAAATTCTCAAATATGAAGAACAATATGCTCTAACAGTGAGGAACAGAACACCAAATATATGTTAATAAAATATTTACAGTGTTTTTCTGAGTACCTTTAATTTCTTTTTAAATATCACTCTTACCTCTTAAAAAGGTACACTAGTCAGTTAAAAGCCTGGATCTCTACTACGTTATTACAAGATGAGATGCTGAAAAAGACATTTCAGGAAATTGCTTCTATGTCTGCTGCCTGTGAGACTATTTTCATCTCAAGCATTTTGAACAATGAGGAGGAACTCGTCTGTGTCACTCTTGGTGATGCTGTGTTCAAATTAGAGAATAACAGGTATCCTGGCAGACTCCAGCTGCAAATTAAGCGCTGCTCTCTGATTCAAGATTTCACACCACAGTGTAGAGCCAGTCAAAATACAATCATGTTGCTCTGAGTCCTACTGGGCAATTTTAGCTTTATGGATGTGATATGATCATAGGCTTTGCCAGACATTCAGGCTAAAATTTCTCTAGTTTGAGCAGAAAATAAGAAGTGGGATCCCTTCAAATGCTACCCACATTGGACTCGAAATCTCTTCTGCTCTCTTCCTCACTCCTATTCCTCACAAATTATTCCTCACAATGGAATAATTAACAATACTGACATTTAAATACTGTTTGCAAAATATGCATTGGCTCTTTCATTAAATGAATCAGCATTCATTTAATCACCTCTCGGAACTATCCTAGCTGCGGCCAGGATCAAGATTTGGATAGTTTCCTCAAAAGCTATTCTTTTATAAATCTCCCTCTGAATTTGTTTGTCTAATTACAGTTTTCTTTTCTGCGAGGTTCACTCCAGGGAGTCTGGATTTGCATTTGCTGCTAAGAAATGCTAATGTATGGGGGAGGGGGGAGTTCTGCAGGTTTTTAAGGTTCAATAACTCACTCCAAACAAATAAGGACAATATTAAAAACAAACACACACACATCCCAGCCACCTACCATCTGCCTTTAAAACCCTCTGTGAGATACTTTGAATTTCAGTACTCAAGTCTGAGGAAGAAGGAATGAAACTAACAGAGTAGCCAGAATTATCACTCGAGTTCTCCCAACTCCTTGGAACAGTGGAAATCACTCACCTTTTCAGCTCTTCCTCCAGTTCCTTGACTCTGATTTCCATTTTGGCTTTGGCCTGTTTTGTTGCCTCCAGCTCTCCCTTCAGCACTTCTTGCTCTCCTGACAGCTGGTCCACCTTGGCAATCAAATCATTCTTCACAACGTTCAAAGCATTTCTTGAAGATGTGAAAGGAAAAATAAGCAATAATGCCTATAACCTGCAGCTACTCATTAATAGAGACCCAAAACTAAAATAAACTAAAATAACAAAGATTAGAAATGAGTTTATTAAAATAGTGTCATTTAGCTAGAACTCAGGGAAATGTTGATTTTGTCAAGGATCTGCAGAATGACTTAGAAATCACCATAATAGGTCAGGATGAGGTTTGTCCAGTCCTGTATCCTGACTGACAGACCAACACCAGACACTCCATAAGAAGATAGCAGGATACTAGCAGATAACCACTATAACAGAGTTTTGGCCAAGACCATCTTCAAGATGATAGTTCATTTGTAACTAGACAGGCAATTGACAGCATGCAGCAGTTTCTTACTTGGTCTCCAGTAGCTGTGAGTTCTCCAGCAGCAGATTCCCCACTTCTTTTCCCATTCCTGTAAAGAAAATCCAGGCAGTTTTCATCTATTTTCCTAGAAACACGGAAACTTGTGAGGCATTGACTGACTCTCACTTTAGGAAGGAAAAACACTTCTGTCAGGCTTCCCTACRCTCCTCTTTCTGCTGTGGAGAGTGGGGTGCTTGTTGCTGGAAGATCATGCATTACAAGCAAAGTCACCCACCTGTTCTTTCTCTAAAGAGCACAAACGCAGGCCTAGTCTCTTCCCCAGTCTTTTACTCCCTTCAGAGACATTAAGAGAAAACTTCACTAATGCTGGTGAAGTCTTCACTAATGCTGAAGGGAAGCTAAGTCAATGACTCCCAGATCAGCCATGAGTTATTACAACCATCCTCCATCACTATTAAAAGAAAAAAGCTGGAAGTTCACGAGTTCTTCGCAGAGCAGAACACTGTCCAAATTGCTGGCCATATCTGCACAACTGTACTTTGAATTCTTACTTAGCATACGCCAAATTTCCCATTTCTCAGCACAGATTTGTGATCATGGTTGTTGTAGCCAGTTTTGTATACACGAAAGGCTTCCCATTATCAGCCTTTCAACGCTGCAATTTTACCAGGATTTCAGATTACGCATCTCTACTGTTGGCCTTTGGCAACTTTCTCGTTGCTGCTTAAATAAACCTGGAGCCTCAACCCTCACTCAGAACATCAGGTGCATGGCACTTCCCCTTGCGCACAAACATGATGACTGCAATATGCACATCAGGGTTGCGAGTGCTCAGAAAAATTTGGGTCTAAGTGGGAAGGCTGAATTTCTTAAAACCAGACTCAAGGAGATTTGGAAAGCAAATGCACAACTGGACTGTTTCTAACTTGCAGGGACCCATTGACTCCCAGAATGAGCTTTACTTTACAAAAGGGAACAGAGGCCACCTGAGGATGGAAGGCAAAGAGCCCTCTCCTTTTCAGGAACAGTGCTGAGGTGCAGCTCATCCTCAGCACAGGTCCCACAGCACAAAGTCGTCTCACAACCATCACAGTTTGTGCTGAAGTTCTTCTACCCTCCTGAACTATCTCTTCCTTTACAGAAAAGATATCTTTTTTTTCTTAGCCATCAATTATTCACTGATTATTTTTTGCAGTGAAATAAAAAACAACATAAACTTGAAGTAAATGGAAGTTAGAGAAACATGATAGCACACAAGAAGTGAGAACACATCACAACACTCCAACATACAGATCCTCTTCCCACAGTAAGATGGGATGAATTTATGATGGCAAAAGCTAATTCCCAGCACGGATGAATAAGAAGCAGCATTTTCAAACAACATTTAAAAAATCAGTAGAGATAATTAATCACTTTGATGTTTCAGGAAATATGTTCTTTGACGCTGTGTCAAGGAATACTGCAAATAGCAAAATAGTGGAAAACAATAAGAACAGTGTAAACTAGAACTTTATTTGTGAAACAGGAAGGTGAATGAGCTATATATTCCCTTTTGTTTTACAGGATGTGCCGTTGTTTGAACCAAGAGGTCATAGGATACAGATTATCTGTTCATTAAACAACATTCTTATTCTCTTTTACTGATTCTACAAAAGGCCGAATCAATATTTATCCCTTAAAACTCTAATACAGCACAGATAAATTCCAGGTGCTGAGGSACATGAGGAGGTGTTCTTTTTTGTTTTGTTTTGTCTTTTAAAGAGGGAGACCAATTTTTCTTCCATTCTCATTCTCAAGTTAGCAAACACTCTCTGGGTTTATCTTTAGGAGAGAAAAGAACACGGAGGAGGTAGGTGAGTTACTAGCCCAGACTTAAAAGCCATTAAGTTCAAAAGCCATTATTATCACAACAGTTTCTATCTTATTTGCATGCAACACAGTCACGGCCAGATGCTTTAACCAGTGAGCAGTGTGAGGGGTTAAGTCTTACAGGGACAAAATGGATTGAGCCATCACAGGGAAATGCAGCAAATATTATAAGACAACTTCATGTAGGCTGTAATGGCCAAGCTCTACCCATGCCTTGGAAGGAAACACTGTGGAGTGATTAGAGGAACCCTTCACTTTGTGGTTGAAGAGGGAGGTGTGGACAGAGCCATATCTCACAGAGCTATCCTACACTGTGCAGCTCCCACACCCAGGTAGAGAGTTTGAAGCATCAAAGTGGATAATCAACTACATCAAAAAAAGTAAGAAAATCCCCAAACAAGTGGTATAGGTATAAAAAGCCTCCTGCTTCTTGGGAAGGTGACATCATCACAAATAAAATCAACTGAGGTGATGACACACATATGGAGGGATGGAGGGTGAACA